TGGAAAGAATAGGAGAACAGAGGACTCTATGGAAGTCAATAAAAAATAGGCGAGATAGGTTGGTAGGACACCTTCTCAGGCATGAAGGTCTAGTCAGAGACGTATTAAAGGCAGAAACAGGAGGGGTAGAGGCAGACCTAGGTTAGATTACTTTTCGCAAATAGTTAAGGATATGGGTTGCGCTAGTTTTAGGGAAATGCGAAGATTAGCTCAGGATAGGAAAGAGTGGAGGTACGTGTCCAACCAGATTTATAATATGTCACACATGCCTTCCCAGACGGTTTTAATAGTTTAGTGTCTGTCTTTAAATTTGCACTTATTTTTTTCGATTACACAATGAACACCTCAATGTCAAAATTTTCCAGTTTTATTCCAGACTACACCGTCGAAAATGTTAAAATGGAAAATTGAGATCTACGATCATGTATCACGGTGACGACAAAATCCCCAATCGTGTGTCTAAGGCTCTTGCACATGAACGGTCAATCCGTCGACCGACTCTTCCACCAACCGGCTAAAAACCAGAAAAAAAAATAGGTATTACTTATACGTTCAAATATAATTTTCGTAACACACCTATCGATTTCGGATATCCTGCTGACCTATTAACATTCAAAATAAAATATCAACGGCGAATACATGGTCGCCGGTTGATAAATTAATTGACGCATTTGTTTCAATACGCGTAAGTCTATGCAAGTTGATACACGAACGAGAATTGTGCCTTTGCCGTCGACAATTGCAGACTTTCATTTTGACTTTGCATCGACATCAATGTGTAAAATGCTTCTATTGCACTTCTTTCTACTACCAGTGGTCGAATCTATAATTTTCTTGCTAATGCTTTCTAAGAGAAAATGAGGAGAAGGTAAATAGGTGGAAAGAATATTTAAAGAACCTATACGCAGGCCATGAGTTAGGAGATATATTAGGGAAGGAAGATAGTGTGGAGATTGATGAGCTAGGTTATTCCATAATGAGAGGAGAGTTCGATATAGCATTAAAAAATTTAAAGAATAATAAGGCGCCAGGTACAGATGGGATACAGGGGGAAATTCTAAAACATGCAGGGCAATAGGTTAGAGATCGTATGTTTAAGCTAGTTAGTCACATTTACGAGACGGGGAAAGTTCCCAAGGATTATAAACGGAACGTGGTAGTAACCATCCCTAAAAAGAGAGGCGCGGATAGGTGCGAGACATTTAGAACAATAAGCTTAAGTTCCCATGTGTCTAAACTCTTAACTAGAATTGTACAGAGGAGGATGGAAAAAAAGAGCGGTAGAATTATTAGAGGAAGATTAATTTGGTTTTAGAAGAAATGGAGAAACGCGGGAGGCAATTCGAGCTGTTAGGGTAACAACAGAGAAAACGATAGAAGAAAGAAGGAGTGCGTACATAGGATTTGTAAATTTAGAAAAGCTTTTGACAATGTTAAATGGGACAAGATGTTAGATATACTTAAAAATTTAGGGACGAATTCCAAAGATAGAAGAGAGATACTTAGTTTGTATAAAGAGCAACAGGCAGTTGTACGGAGTTGAGGCTGCAACGCAGAGAAGTAAAT